GGAATAACAAGTGTAATATCCACTAAAGCACAGCTTAAGTATATAACACCAACACTAGTGACCCACCTAACTAAACACCTGTGAAGTCCCTTCAATTGCTAGGGACATTTAAATTACCTTATTTTGTGGGTTATCTTTTGTATTATTATTGACATTAAGTATTGTGATGTATTTTGTTTGTGCTTTTAATCATGAATTCTGTCTTGTTATTTGTACTTCATTAACCCTGTTTTCTTTTATATGTACTCAGTTCATTAACTAAATTCATGTATGTTTGGTGCCCAATTTGTTTGTCATGGTCGAAGTGTTATTTCATTTGTATTATAATTATCCAAAGAAAAAGCCAAGTAAGCTTGAAGTTATTCCACTCTCCAATTTGGATGAAAAAAAAAAATGTTCGTTTCGGATACCTTCGTTGTTTAGTCATGTGCATGCTTCAAATGCAACTTTGATGTGTTGTTGAGTAAATAATTGGTTGACTCTGTTTTAAGATAAAATTGAAACATAAATAAGTTGAAGAAGAAGGCATTGGTGACTACATAATTGGTTGACTATGTTTTAAGTTGCAATATAAACATAAATAGGTTCGAGAAAGTGACATCAAATATAATTAAGTAGGAGCAATATGCACATGAAAACCTATACAAAATAAGGCAGCCACAATCAGATCCCCGATTACATGCCATTCACCAAATTGTTAGTAGCATCCATCAAACCAAAATCTAGGGAGATTAAAAACCAAAATAATAGGACTAATAGCAGCTTATCCTAATAAATTACACACACTGCTAATTATATAAGCAAAATAGATATATAAATAAGATACTTAGCAGCATCATATAGCCGGGACTTAAATACCAAAAAGAAGTGTAAGCCCATCCCGAAAATTATTTCACTGTTAGTTGGAGTCGACGCATGAGTCGACATCCGACTCATGATCCATTAATTCGTGATCGTCGTCCATGTCATTTTGTTCCATAGGAACTGGATCTTCTTAGATTAGGCTTTGAACCTGCTGTTGAACTTCATTATCATCATCCATGCTATCTTCAATCAACACATCGGAGTTCGACTCATCTAGACATATTGGATTCTGCGAAGTCTGGCCTGGGTTAGCCTCGATATCCACTTCTACAGCCAAAGCAGCATGCACTGATTGCACCATTTGAATCCATTCCAACGGAAATACACTTATAGATCAATCTCCTCTGGGTGATTTTAATTTTTTTGGATGTTAAAAAAGATTCACAGGGCTCTTTATAGAAAATGTGATAAGCAAATGCACTTAAATCTCCGACGAAATTCCAGTAGTCTCGGTTCACACTAACCAAAGAGCCGTCATCATGCACGGCAACTCTGAGTGTGGTTATGAACCGAAGGAATTGACGGTAATGTCCTGAAGACAGTGGATTTTTTCACGAACCTTGATCCACGAAAAGTCCTTCTGCATAAGCTCCGATAACTGACGGGAGATTCCGAAGCACAACTAATTCATGAGGGTTGCCATGTGTACGTCGTCTTTTTCAGCGCACTTCTGAAAAAGAGACGATAACCAACCTCCTCTTCCTCCTCGGTCCGCTTTCGGTTCTTCCTCGGTCCACCCCTCCAACCGGAAGCGGCGCCGTATGTTCCCCAAACTCGTCCTCCGATCCATAACAGTTAGATGACTTTGTTGTGTTCAAAACAGAATAAAAAGAATTATTAAAAATAAAGCATTTTAAAGACTACACAGTAGGGTGATGAGGATTAAAAAAAAAAAAACAAAATGTTACCAAAGTACAGAGAATATTGCCTGTGTGAAGATGGTGAGGATTTTAAAAGCATGCACACACCATCAAAAGTTATAGCCGGCTTGTACCTCATGTCAACATTACACCTTATTAATTTCAGTTGTTAGCAATCAACTCAACTTAAATGGGAATAATCATTAACATTTATTTTGCTTGTGTGTAAGTTTATTTTTCATTTAAAGCCAACCATTAATGTGTGTTGTTCTCATCTATTTATTATTAGTATTGTCTTTGTGAATCTAATGTAAAAGAAGAATAGAAATTTGCTTTTGGTTGTGCAGTTAATGTAGCCGGCCAAAGGTTCATTTCGGCTAAGGCAGTAAGTAGTGATTTGCATTTGTTTGGGATACATATCCATGATTTATTAATATTAATTAAATTATTAATACTTTTAATGTAATTAATATTATTATAAACAATAATAATCATATTCTTACTACTAATTTATTATTAATATTGTTTATTATTATTATTATTATTATTATTATTATTATTATTATTATTATTATTATTATAGTTATTGTTAATGTGCACATGCACGTATTTAAGCAAAATGTTATTACATATAAATATCTATTATACATAAAATAATAAGTTATATAAAGGGAATATCATATATTTAGTAAATATTAATAAGTAGTAAAAATGAAGAATATAAAGATGTCAGCTCCTTCAACCAGGCTCTCATATGCAAACAATTGTAGAGAATAGTCTCACAGCCTGACCTTCTTGTTAGTAAAGTGCTCAAGGACAGGTACTTTCCTTCTTGCCCAATTTTTTACGCTAAAAAATCTCAGAATGGTTCTTGGCTCTGGCACACATGGCTGGACTGCCTCCCTATTCTAGCTCAGTGGCTCAGAACAGAAATCAAGAATGGTGCAGCACCCAGAATCAGTGACATTAACTGGATCCAAAGTATACTCCTTGCTAAGCCTGCTATGTTGCAGATTGCTCAAGGCCACATCACTTGGGTAAAAGAACTTTTGCAGGAGAATGGTTTGGTTTTTGGAATTCTTGGCTGGTGAAGAATCTATTCAATGAAGAAGATAGCCAGACAATCCTTAATATCAAGATTCTCAATCCATCCAAAAGAAGACAGACTTTTCTGGTGCTTGGAAAAGAAAGGTCATTTTTCAGTCTCATCCACTTATGATTTCTTGATTAATCAGAAAAGACTGGGCTATGATATTCCAAATAACAACAACAATGCTCTTCTCATCAAGAAAGCTAGCATTAGAACATGGAGTCTGCAAGTGAAAGGCACCCTTAAACATTTCCTGTGGAAATGTATATCTTGCTCATTTCCTGTTAACTCTAATCTGGTGAAGAGAGGAATTGATGTTGATATCATCTGCCATGTCTGTGGAGAGGCTCCTGAAACAATTGAACACACTTTTTTCCATTGTTCAAGAGCCCAGAGGATGTGGGATCTAAGTCCTTTGACCTGGCATGGTCTGTGCACTGAAGGTTGCTCTTTCAGAACCTGGTGGTTTCACTTATGCACCATCAAATTTACCCCTGTAGCAGAAGACAGAATTCAGCTCACAACCTACCTTCTTTGGTGGTTGTGAAAATCAAGAAACTTGTGGTTATTGAAAACATCAAGATACCAATCCAGATGATGGTGTCCAAGGCACATCAGGCTTGGCTGGAATTCAGAGGAGTTAAGAAATAGTTGTATGTGTACATGAGCAGTTTGCTGCTCAGTCCTTAGTGTGGTGCTGATTCTCTTAGTTGGTTTTTTCTGTTCCTTTGTCTTGGGTGTCTTTTGTTTTATTTCTGGTTTTCTAGGGAGGTTGATAGCAGGCTAGGCTCTTTGCAGTGGTCTTGGTGTCTTTATCTTGATTTGTTGGTTGGTTTGTCTCTAGGCTGCTTCCATGCGTGCTCTATCAATTTTAGATTTTTAGGCTGTGTCATTAACCCGTTGGGTTTGATTTGTATTCGAACTTTGTTCACTATTTTTTGGTTATTAATATATCCTCTCTATCGTTTCGAAAAAAAAAAAGAATATAAATATACAACCTTTTACTTTCAGTTCAGTAGTTGTTCACTTTCATAAAAGTCTTTTTCATGATGTGATTGTGTTTTGGGTACCAAATTTGATTATTAGAAATTATGTCATTAAGGGACGTTAAGTTCGGTTCAAAAATGTGGATTATTTAATATTAAATTGAAACTATATAAAATTATGAATAGTTATGATTTTGAAGTTGCAAATACATAAACATGTTGTTTATCACACTTATATATTTCTGGAAAGGGAAGCAAGCAACATGTTAGTATAATACAACTAAAACCACTACGTACTTATGAGGACAAGAATATATGATTACTTAAAAATGGTTCAAATCCTCCAAACAATTAGTAAAAACACATAATTATAATTTTTACTTTCTTTGTGTTTGTATGCATTTCAGTCATAGGCTCATAACTGACCATACACACTTTGATCATATTCAATTTGTAACATATACGTACTCAGGGGAACCCCATCAGGTTGAAAAAAGGACAACTCAATTTCACAATTCCTAATATATGAGCTCATGGGAACCTCACATATATCCAGCCTAAGTTTAGTTAAGAATGAAGTAAATAGTTGGTGCCGATGTTACAAAACCAAAAACATAAGTTCACCGACCAAATATATGACCCTACTACAGGTTTACAACGTCATCGCCTTCATCAAAATGACTAATACATGCATTGTTGGAGACTATGGGTTCACTGCCACATACATAACTTAAATAGAAATATAGTTCACATTGCAAAATGACAAAGTTTTGATTATAGACCATATGCAAAATGACAATGCACGTGCCTTTTCTTTCTACAATCACCCGGTCAAGATCTGTTGCACCAAGGAGCACTTTGCATCATCATAAAGGCTAAAAAAGAGATCCAATTCATCAACGTTTTTGCATATGTAACGCATGACAACCACCCTTTCATCCGTTGTTAAGTTCGGAATTTTTTTTAAGTGCCTCATAAACGGCAATACGTTGCTCTTTTGCATCAACTTGGTTTGTAAACGTGCTGACAATTCAGAAAGACGCTTGTTCATCTCCTCGCAAACAGATGAAATTAGCCCGATTATTTTATCCTCACTCGCAACATTAAGCTTTCTTTTTCCACCACGCTTAGACTTACCGGATGCACTACTCTCACCCGCTTGGGCCGAAAAAGAGTCCATGTTAATTTTAGGCTCATCACAATGTTCCGGGACTGGTCCTGAGTTGGGATAGAGGTAGGTGCATGGTCGTTTCTTTCATGTATCACATCATTAACCGCGTCCGTGAAACCTTGTGCCCCCTCTCATGTTGCCCGGTCCTTGCCAAATATTTCCACTCAATCCGCGAAAAAGGGCCAAGATTATGACGCAATGGCTTGGCCTTTGGATTAGCCTAAAAGAAATGAGTAAAATAAAAATATAACCAACCCTTTTTAAATAACATTTTTATTAGATAACATAATACATCGTGTAAATATAATACTACTTTAATGTAGCTCACCAAACGGCATCATCCTTCACATTAATCATGTTTCCCGTTTCACTCCATTCGAACCCCAAACTTGCAAGCATTCCCGATAGTAAACCATAATATTTTTTTTCTAAACTGTAATCTTTGATGATATGTGTGGTCCGACTCTTATTTTAGTACCTGGGAAACACTGTGCCAAATGTTGCTCTAATATGTTTGTGTATCCGTAGCGAAAGCCATTGTCACATTTCTAGCTGCGCAAAAGAAGATCGCGCAAACCTTTAATTAATGCACTTTCCTCGTCCAGATTCCAAACTCGACGTTGTCCGTTGGCCTATGAATTGCGTCCCTCACTACCGGTGGATTCCATGACTAAGTAATGACCAAAGAAAGAAACCAATAACTATAGGTTAATCGGTTAAACAACAAGAATACAATATACTGTAATGAAGAAAACCATAATTAACCCGGATAAACTCTTCATTTTGCACAGAAACAAAGCAAAAAAAGCTGAAATAAAGTATTAGTAACACATAACATTCACTAATTCACATAATATTGTTTTCCGCAAACAAAAAAAAAAGGAAAGAGAAAAACGAAAACAAAAAACAAGAACATGTCTTTTTTGTTTATATTTTTTAATACAAACATTGGTCATGATTAGACAACAAAACATTGTTTGCATCAATGTTCAACTCAGGCATATTTGTCCACTCCGTGTTGGGCTCTAAAACGTCTACATAGTCAATGGGGTCATGGGGCTCGGCGGTTTGGTGATCATTCGTCGTAGAGTCTCCTTCATTTTCCACAGGGTCAACATTCATCGTAGTACGGATAAAGTTTTGAAGAAGACAACAAGCAAGTATTATTTTATTTTGAGTGTCTATATTGAAATCAGTTTAGCTCCTAAGGACGGCCCATCGCATCTTCAGGACTCCAAAAGCTCGTTCGATCACGTTTCGTGCTTTGGCATGTCTTAAGTTCAACAGTTCTCTATGGTTTGTAGGCACTCAGTTACCCTCAACAAGCTCATGTAAGTGATACCTCACACCCCTATACGGAGCTAAGAATCCCAGACCATTTGTGTAGCCGGCATCGCAGAGGTAATAGTTCCCTGA